GGTCGAATTTCTAACTGTACGAATGAAACAACCGCTCCCCGTACGGCTCATTCGTTTGTTTTGATGGCAAATAGTTTCTGGTGCATGCAAGCGGTGAAGTCCACGTTCAGCTTGCACACATGTAACTGCCGACATGTAACTGTCGGAAAAAGGGACCGTCGACAGGCCTTCCGTCGATCGGCTGCTTCTGGCAGTTATTACATCTAAAACTTCATATATCCTCTGCTTCTCACAGAGAGTAAATGTGAGGGAGAGGAAGGGGTTGGCTTTTCTTTTTGAAAAATGACAAAAGTAAAAGAGGTAGTCTGCTTGCCTGGCTGCGAGCAAACTAACACTGTATCATCTCTGTTTCTAGTGTAATGAATTCCAGTCCACATACATAGTTCGCATGTTGGGCGATTAAAAAGAAATTATGTTTAGTGTGTGAGGTTTTCCTATAGCCCTATTTTCACAGTTTTATCAAGATTTTACGGTGCTTGTTTGTCAAAATTTGTTTGTCTATATCATTCTTCTCTTCCATTTAAAGTGGATTCTACCTTCTGAATCTATTTTCTTGCCATCACTGGGAAATGTCCGGCTGCTTTTTAGCTCCAGCACGATTGGTGATGTGAGAAAGCGCTGTGATGTAGAACTGAGAGGTGAGGTGGAATATTCGTCAATGGTGATCAGCCATGATGACTGTGAATTGACCGATGACACGCCACTTGAGCTTGTTCTGGCAGATGGCAACAAGTTGTTGGAATGTATTTTAATTGGGTGGTCGAAGCCTTCCGCTGCACAGATTTACACAAAACGCTCGAAATGTAAGTTTTTAAAGCAGCTCTGTTGGTAAAACTTTCAAAGATAGCTTGGCTTTTTGAAACATGATTCAGTCGACGCTACGAACTGCAGCTGATCAAGGTACCAAAGTAAGCGACTCAGTAGGTAGTACGTGGTCTTTTATAGAACAGAACGTCATAGAAGGGCCACCAGAAATTATCGAGAAGCTGTAAACGATGCTGTTGCTTACATATTAAACGACACATGAAAGAATATGGTCTTGCGTCTTCCGAGGATGTTATGATAATAAAAGTTCTATGAATAAACACGCAATAAAAGTGCCCGCGGAGCAGTTGGAGTTGGTGAATCTGTTTCAGATCCGATGTCGGACGTATTGCGTGCGCTGAACGAAAGTAGCAGTGGATGTTTGGATCTTAGGGAGATGAACATTGCTCAGGATGATGCCGTCTGTTCAGCTATGGAAACTTTACAGACCACATTAACGGAACTTCATCTGGACGGAAGTACCTTGCACGCTTCATTCACTGAAATAATCTCGAAAATGGCTCGACGTCTTGCAGTACTTAGCTTGCCGTGCTGTGCCTTAGACAGGTTAATTTTCACATATTTCATAATTTAACACTTGATTGACACTGGGCTCAGCTAGTGTTGAATGGTGATCATTTGTTCGTCACTTCACTGTATACATTTCAAAAAGCAAAAAAACCCTCCCTTTATTCGTCTCAGTGAGGGGCGGAAGCACGCGAGAAGTATTTAATGTCAGCAGCGATCATCGCTAGCAAGGCTTTTTTCGCAGACAGATTGACTTCGAGTTTGATTTCATGACATACTCTGATTCTAATTTTACCATTAAAGCGAATGAACAAGTCATAGAGGGTTATTCCAGTGGCAGAGTCGAATCTTCGACTAGCTGCGCGACGGCAGTGGTAACCCAGTGTTGTCCTGTCGGTATACATATATGGAATCAGTAGTCAGATTGCTTATGGTTTTGGTTAGGCTCGACCAGTGAAACAGCTAGTCCGAATCCCATTCGTTTTGCGCCCTAGCTTCTGTTTATCCCATGGAGCAGGAGACCATCGAGAATCATAGCCAGTGGACAATTGCTTTTTTTGCGTTTTTTGTATCTATGCAATGCAAAAAAGCATACGCTCGAGGGGTTGTCTGTATGTATGTATGTAGTTGTGTGCGCCTGTAACGAGTTTTCATCTCGATATCTAGAAAAGATGCGAGGCTGAAACTTTGGTAACTTAATCTATGCATACGTGCGGGCTCCTGTTCTTAGAATGGATGCTCAGTTCCACGTGGTTCTCACGTATGGGCACGTGAAATTTTTTTTGGCGGGAAAACGTTTCCG